ACTTGGTTTGCTCTTCTTTTTCTAGAGGCTTATGGTGCAGCAGTACGATGTTTATTTGTTCTCACTCTGTTTTCCTACTGTGTGAGCTCACCGGTATAAATATCCCTCCAAGAATTGTTTTCATTGCATCCCACAAATACCAATAAGTTGTGCTTGAACACTGGATTGTAGATATTGTTTAATTTCTTGATTAATTTTGTCTATAACCCATTAGTTATTGAGGAGGGTGTTATTTAATTTCCATATGTTTATGGGGTTTTTATGGTTTCTTTTGTCATTAACTTTCAGTTTCATTGCTCTGTGGTCAGATAATATACATGGGGTAATTTCTATTTTCTTGCATGTAATTAAGACCTATAAACTTATGTGGTCTATTTTAGAAAAATGTTCCAGGTGCATCTGAAAAGAATGTGTTTTCAGATGATGTTGGGTTGGTGGAACACTCTGTTTATGTCCCCTAAGTCCATTTGTTCAAAGTTTTGGTTCAGTTCTTCTACCTGTTTGCTTATTTTTTGCCTGCTTAATCTATCTTTTTGGGATAAGGGGGTATTAAGGTCCCATGTTAAGACTGTGATACTGGTTAGTAGATTTTTCATGATATTTAAAATTTGTCTTTTATAGTTGGGTGCTTCTGTGCTTCGTGCATACAAATTTATGACTATTATGTCCTCCTCTTGAATTTTTCCACCAAGCAGTATTTAATAACCTTCTTTATCTTGTTTGATCATTCTTGGTTTGAAGTTAAGATTGCTGTGAACAAAACAGCTACCCCTGCTTTTTTGTGAGGTCCTGGAGCATGTAGTATTGTTTTCCATCCTTTGACTTTTAGCCTGTGAATTTCTTTATGGGTTACATGTGCTTCTTGCATGACAAAAATGTAGTTGAGATAATGAGATTATGTAGATGTTGGCTTACAGAAAATGATAGTTTAATGGAAGAAATGACAGTATGCTAGGAAAGGATGGTAATAGTGATGTTACATGGATTCCAGGTAATCATTAGTTAAACCAAATAAGATACAATGACTTCAATGGAGGGACAAAGGAGGTATTGGGATGCATCCCACACAGCTACCTGATGGAAAGAGTTACAGGTAAGAGAAGAAGGTATTTGGGTAGGTTTGGCTTTTTGTTCAGAGCACTATGGAAAACTTTAAGAATTTAAGCATGAATGGGCCAAGTTTGCAATGCTTTAAGTTGGCAAACTGAAGTGATAAGCTTTCATTGCAATAATGGATATAGACTTCTTGGATAGAAAGAGATGGTTTCTAGCAGTAGTTATAATTTAAAATTATAGGCATTGATAAGATTTTCTGTGGAAATGTGGGTTGAAAAGAGAGGAGGATAGAGACCTACTTGAAGATTTCTTTTTTGTTTCTTTGTTTGTTTTCACTAGCTACACCAGCATCTTCAAGATCTGAAACTCTGTCTTCACATTCACTTAAACGGTTTTGCAAGCTTGTGATTGAGAGTTTCATTTCCTCT